TTAGTATAAATTTTTACTGTCTTTTACTATTTACATTCATTAGTGATTTTGATATTAATAAGCTAGAACTCCATAACTAAACAACTAGAACTACGAGACGAGCTCTACTAAAGTGACACATTTACGACCGCACACCTTCATCCAAGATTAGTCACGCACATCATTCAATCCATCCTCATCCACGTGCACCGTCCCCTCGGCAGTACAAAAAACAACAGAGTCCTCGGGAGGAAACACCAGACATTTATTGCATTACACATAATAATTACATAAAATATGCAAAACACACAAAACCGACACACTAGGCGGCAAGGACCGGGACACCGACGAGACAAAAGAGGTCGACCATCTCGCGGCATCACCGGTGCCGCATCGCCAGCTGCCACGAAAGTACGTAAACAAACATTATAGCTTTTAATTAATATAACAGTTGTTTACATACTCCACTTTACTTTAACTACTTAGGTAATTTTAATTCTCTGAACGTAACAGATGGAAATACACGTTGTTTTTGCGTCACTTAAACGTCTACACGTGTATTAATTAATCGACACCTCTGTAGGAATCCTTTTACATCAAATATCAATAAATAAAGTATTCGTCTTCAGTTTTCATTAATATTTAATTGTATTATGGCAAAAAAACAACGAAAATAGCTAAAAATCGCCATTAAATAAAGAAAAAGCAGAAACGAAAGTCAACAGGAATACAGTACTTGCACTATCGTTTCGTGACTGTCAACAGTAAACAACCTTTGATATTCATGTATGACAGCTAAATCTAACGTATATCACTCGGTTAACAATAATATAATAAATTAATAGCGCTATTAATTAAATATATAACAGATATTTACCGAAACGAAACCATATGTCATACGATAGATCGACGAAACAAATTAAACGTGCGAATCCCACACCAAATGTGACCACGTGTGTTCGCGTCACTGGATAAACATCAAGGTGAGCACCCTCTGGCGAAATCATTCCTGTGCAAAAATAAAATAATTTTTTTTTTAACATGGCATCAAGGCTAGCGTTATATTTTTAACTGAATGACTTTAAAATTATTTTAATTATTTTACGTACATATAGAGTTACGTAGATAAAATATTTTTAAAAAATTGCCAGCCTATCACCTACGCTTTAACACGGAATAAATTTTTGAACGACCAATGGAGTAGTTTATTAGCGTAAATTTCTGTATCGAAGATAGTTAATATCAACGCGAAAACGAAATTTATTTTTAATTTAAGTTTCGTTCGTCACGTAATATTAAACCAGTAGAAAATAATAAAATATTTTAATGTTGTGTCAACCCCCGTCGCGTACGTTACGCATCACCGGACATAATAAAACAATACTGTATTTACTGTATATCTGATTGTAGTGAAAATAGTTAGTGAAAGACACAATGGATAAAGTTGCGAAAGTCATTAGTAGATCTCTGTGTATAAAATTTGTATGGAGGATCGAGAAATTCCGAGTAGCGATATCATTAATATTAGTTCACAAGATCTCAATTCGGATAAAATTATCGAAAATGGCATCAGTAATCACTTTCATAAATAAAATTGGTACGATAAACAAAAGACCAAGATTAATACGCAGGCCTATATATAGTTTTTCCCTTCTTTCCGTCCTGCGGGAACCAAAAAAAAACCCTTTTTCCTCCATCCCATCTCAGTTTCGACCAGGCACACAACGGGGCGGCCGAATGGTGAGGGACTGGATCCGACATATCCAGATGGATTATCCTCTAATTCCTGGAGTTTTTCTTCCGGATTCGATCCAGATCCCCTAGAGCGATGGTCTGTCACCATAACCGCTATGTTATCCGGCCGTTTTCCTGTTGTTTTTCATTATATCTATATTGAAAATTCTATTCTATTACAGTGGCGCACCCAGGGGGAAGGCTTAAAAGACCTAGCACCCCAAAGTAAACAGAAAAAACACAAATAAATTTTCCTAAAATCTTTTTCTAATTATTTTTTTATGTAGGCCTATATTGTGTGGTGTCTTCTATTGTGGCTGCTGGCCTTTTTAATTGTTTAAAATTTACGTTTTGATTATTTTAATTTTCAACGCCTTTCCTTTGTTCTCATCTATCCTTTCTAATCTTTCTTTTGTCAACGTGGGGGTTATGTTACGATAAACATCGAGAACAATAGAGAGGACAACGACGGGTCCGAAGGGGAAAGAGTAACTGGAGGATCGATTTCGGAATGGCCTTGACAGTCAGAGAAAAAACAGAACGGAAGAGCGAAGAAGGTTAAACTTCCGTGTAACGTGTAGCTCGACAGGAAATAAATTTTATTAGTGCTCCTTTTCGAACAATAGACTTTCGATCATCACAAAGCTTGATAAGCAACTGAACTGTATTTGTGACGAAAGATGAGAAATCATAAAGCTAGAAGAATTCATGGTAGACCCCATCTTGCAAGCGAAGAAAAGTATCCCCCGACAAAATCATGAGTATTTTCACGATTGATCTTTCTATCTGTATCCTTATAATTTCTTATCGTACTTTCCTCTTATTTAAATTGTAAAGTAGTTTTGAGGTAATATTAATTTCGAGTTACTTCTGTTACGCGTGAAACGTTTCTTTTGGGAGGTCTATAATCACGTGCACTCCCGGCGCGAGGAAAATTCACTGGTATCCAACCTTAGTTGGGATTCGGACAAAAGATCCTGCGACACTTGTTTTGTTCTGTGTAAATAAAGTGTATTACAGTAATTGTATCTGTTTACTATTTATGTTTTGGCATTACACTCTGTACTGTATATTGCTTTCGTCAGCATTGTATCAACACTCAATCGTCACACTACATAAACTATGAATTAGCCGTCACATAAGGGGAAATTTTATTGAATTCGCGTTAAAAATTTCATTTATCCGTTCAACTCGGCTCCCCTCAAGATTAATTCCCGAGTGCGCCACTTTTCAATTATAAATTGTATTCTCAATTGTATTCTCTTAAAAGTGTTAAACGAGAATACTCTAGATCAGGGGTCGCCAAAGTGGTCTATATCGACCCCCAGGGGTCGATGCAACATCATTGGGGGGTCGATGCGGCTAGGGGGTCGATTAGGGGGTCGATGTGGCAATGGGTTACAACCTTGTTTTTTTTTTCTTATACAGATATCAGAGATCACAACGTATTTTATTTTGCTCATACACTTACACTTATAATAAAACTTTACGGTGGGAGTCAATGTGAGGTTTTGGAAAGTGGTTGGGGGTCGACAGTTAAAAAAGTTTGGCGACCCCTGGTCTAGCACCTGTGTGTCAACTTCTCAACACCAGCCTGTGCTGAACAACTTGCTGTCTTTCTTGGGCTCAGCTCTATAGATATAGCTTGGCATTCTGGCTGACTCTTAGTCATGTTCAAAGGTTCCTCAAAAGCATTTTAAAAAAATAGCTAATTGATAATTTAGTTTCTGTTCATTAACCAAATCCAGAAATGCCTTCCAGGATGACAGACACTGTCAAGCTTATCACTACATTAATTATGAAGTGCAACTTTGATTAAAGACTGATCTAGATGTGAGTGTCATCATTCTTCTCACTACGATGCATTGGTAGACAACAGATCAAACAATGAAAGGTTGCAGATTAGTCAATGTGCCTATGTGGTGACTTGTTTATGGAATGGTTTTGGTCTCTATTGCCATAATAAGCCTTCTATAAAACACAAATCCAGAAACTAATCCTTTCAACATGCCAAAATTTTGTCCAGGTATATGCTTTTCTACCCAGAGCATCACTAAAATGTGTCACAGAAAAGTGACAGGAAGAAGCTCAGACATTACACAAAAAATAAACAGAACAAGCTAAAATAACTGAAACAGAAAAAAGTCAATAATAATTAACTAGTACTAACAACAAAAAATAGGTACAGCTGATTTAGTCAGATGCAAGAGTTCCAATATATAATTATATCATAAGCACATTTATCATTTAAATATTTTTTTAAGCTATGCCATGGCCTCAACCTGAATGTTTAAATGTAACGGTATATTGGAAAGGTTAACTCATAAATTCAGCTAAAGTTGTCTGTTATAACTTTAAGTTTAATTATTAAAGTTTTGATATTTTAATTAATAGCTGCTTCTTTATGTAAGCTAATATAATTATAATTAATTATTTATTTAATAAATATAATTGGTATATACTAAAGTTTTGGCACACTGCCTTGAACTTAAACTTGAAATTGGCTTTAATATATTTAATTGATCATCAATAAAAGATCACTTAAAGTGTAATATTTTGTTGAGTTTGTTAACTATATTAACATTCATAACCTATTGCAATAATAGAATACCATAACATACCTTTCAATTATCCAATGGTTTGATNTGGACTGGATGTGTACAGTTGCTATTTCTGTGCACGATGGCAGCGCCGGTACCAAAAAACGATTTTGACCCATCTGTGAAGATGGTGTTGGCATTGTTGATGTTGGAAACACTAGCATCAGTGAGAAGATTGACGGTAGGAGATAAAGCAGGATGCCTGCAATGCCTGTGAAGAGTAACTTGGGTGTTCTTGTGGTTAAGCATGAGGGTTTGTTGCATATCCAGGCTGGGAAGGATGCCAATATTTAGATAACTTATTAGCTCAGTCTTCGTACGATCTGAGAGACTGAGGTTGGTGAGATACCAACTAGCTGCATTGGCCTTTACGCTTAGATGTATTGGAGGGATGCCAGTAATCACCTGTAGGGCAGATGTGGGGGCAGTCCTGTAGGCCTTGGTGATCTTGAGGAGGCTGACACGTTGAGCCTTTAGAAGCTTACGCTTTACGTAAACTTTATCCACTGCGTCCCCCCAAAAGGGCGCGCCATAAAGGATGGCCGGCTGTATGGCCAGGCGATAGATATTTGTTAAGTTCTTGCTGTTGAGGCCCCAGTTTTTTCCTGCGAGAAAGCAGAGAAGGTTCGAAATTTGGAAAGTGGTTGGGGGTCGACAGTTAAAAAAGTTTGGCGACCCCTGCTCTAGATCAAAACAACAGTATATAGAGTTTATTATTTAAAAATAAAAGCGGCAGATACTATTCTTGCGCCTTTATTCCATTGTTTCGGAGAGTGACCATTTTGGATGGAAGCAAATCATCAAATTCAATAGTTAGCCAATGGTAATGTCTAATTAATATCCATTGATGAATACAATGTTTCCGTTCGATTCGCCCGTGGTGACACTCACGTTAAAAGACACGGAACATTCCGTCTGCCTAGACACCATCCTACAATGCCACGTCGATTCTAAATTAGTCAAAGTGCTCCGAAACAACGAGGAAGTGGGTCTGACCGACCATTGCGTCGAAGGAAGCCAATCGGACAGCAGAGATAAATCGAAACGTCACCGTTACGTAGAATTGCCGGAGGAACAAGAAAATTTCGCTTACGTTTATCCGTTTCTTCTTCATTTTTTGAAAACAAAACACTTGATGTATCCGCGCGACAAGGACGTCGTCCTGAGATTCGTCCAGGCTCTGGAATACTTCGACGTCATCAAAGACGTCCGAGAGTTGTTCGTCGCCAAACACGCGCGGGAATTAACTAATCGAGAAGTGACTCAAGTGTTGTTAGAAGGATCCATCAAAATAGCCGAACAAAAAGAAGAGACGATAACGGATTTGGAGGAATTCAACTACGTCGTTTCCAAGAGGGTGCACAGAGAGTCCTTAATTGCCGTGACCAGGATTCGCGAGGACGGAAAGAGATTTGCTGTGTTCACCGTCTACGGCCAACACAAGACCCTAAAGGAGATGTTTCCCGACAAAGAGGTGGAGGAGGACTTCACCTATCGCAACTTGACCTCGTTGGTCCGTCTCGGCTCGGATCTACGCAACGACGGGGACTTGGTGAGCCAATTGGGCAGCGTCTTATTATACAGCGTTATGGGCAGACTGGGTTTCGGATTGACCTGCTTCTCAACCTTCTACGGAGAAGAAAAAGACGTCTTAACCCTCCGTAAGTCGCTAGGAATGGGGCCCTTACTTGAGTCGCATGGGTCTCACAGACCCAGTGTTTTTAATGACCTCGTTGGTCCGTCTCGGCTCGGATCTACGCAACGACGGGGACTTGGTGAGCCAATTGGGCAGCGTCTTATTGTACAGCGTTATGGGCAGACTGGGTTTCGGATTGACCTGCTACTCAACCTTCTACGGAGACGAAAAAGATATCTTCAGTGGATTGTGGCTCTTCTATAGAGAAAGACCCGGCGGAGGTAGGACCAGGAAAATCGTCGGACTCTCTCCCGGCAAAAAAACACCAGAAAAATCGCTTTTTCCTGAATGTTGTCTAAAACGAAAATGACAAATGAGATTGACGTTTCTTTAATTAATACTAAATTTTATGTTTCTTTCCTCTAAATAAATTAGTTTCTGTTTGATATTTATCTACTTTTTCTAAGAAATAGGAAGTTAAAAGCGAAAACAATGGCATTTCCAAGAATTAAAGCCCTAAGCACTCCCAAGTATAGATCATCTGGTATATAAAACAAAGTGTGCCATTGGTTTGCTCGCTTAGCCGTTCGCATCCCTGGCCAATGACGTAATCCGTCCCATTTGAAATGAACAATGTCATTGGTACGTTTGTAAGGTCATATTAAAGCCGCTTTATGACGCAACGCACCCGTAGGGTACAGTTATCCAATGCTATAAAATCGCACTTGGCACGAAACGAATAAGAATAAATACAGTCGACCCCGCTATAACACTGTTGATTATTCCGTTTTATATGAATTCCATGTTGTACGAGTCACTTATATTTTACAAATACGTGTGCTGGGCTGTGAACGGCTCACGTATGTGTAAAATCTAAGTGACTCGTACAACATGGAATTCATATAAAACGGAATAATCAACTGTGTTATAGGGGGGTCGACTGGTATAAACACAACGAAAATGAATAATTAAAACTCATTTCCGGTTAAAAAAAACTCGGTCTAGACGTTGTTCTTGCGAAATACAGTTAGAGTTTCCGTCTCTATCGCCACGTGAACATCTTACACTCGACCAATTGTCAAGTTTTTGTGTTAGGAAGTGACTCACGGGAAATTCTAGGATGCCGAGCGAATTAAGATAGAATAAAACGTGTGTCGTTTATAAAAGAACATTTGCCCGGGTAAAGATGGAAACTGGCTTCGTTCGCGTGGAGATGAACAGAACAATTTGGGAGGTGCCCGAAAGATATCGGAATTTATTACCCGTCGGTTCCGGTGCCTTCGGACAAGTTTGGTAAAGATTTTCTTCCTCCATTTTATTATATTTTAATATATTTTCCCACTCGCTGCTGATTTGTTAATTAAAATTGCGAATCGTCCGTTTAAATTTTGTACGCGTTGAGTTGTTTTTAACTCATTTAACGAAAAGCCGATGACGTACGCCCACTAACCGGACGTGACGTCATACGGGGAGTCTGGTCACCGGAAGCTTATCTTAACGAGAAGCTCGCAAATTAAATTATTTATTGAAGTATCTAAAAAAACAAGAGTTGAATATGAGCTTGTTAACAGCTTGTATTTTTAAATAATTTATTATCTCAGAATTTTTTATGTTATTTAAATCGTTAGTTTTTTTTATACCCACGTGTAGCATTACTGGAGTGTCAGATTTGACAGTGGCAGATGACAAAATTGACAGCCTTTGTCTTATCTGAACTTTTAAAGTGGTAAAACACACCGAAGCGTACGAAAAATGGAAGAGTTTTCACTCTTCTTACCAGAAATTTTAATGACAGTCGTTTTGCTTACGTTCTGTTTTTGAAATTTGCAGTTATTTTGTGTACAGTCGATCCCCCCTATAACACTGTTGATCAGTGGCGGCCTTAGGGGGTGGCGAGCAGGGCCTCGCGCAACAACCAAGTAGAAAAAAGTTGATATTTAAAACTTTTTATTTTATCCTTAGCTATTAGTTATAACAATAAAATAAATTTAATTTATAGTACAGTATATATTAATATTAATAAGTGCCTACTATTTCAATTCACATACTTTGCACAAAGGACAAGGGCCTCGCAAAGATCTGCCGCCCAGAGCCTCGCAATGGATAAGGCCGCCGCTGCTGTTGATAACTCCGTTTTATATGAATTCCATGTTGTACGAGTCACTTAGATTTTACAAATACGTGAACCGTTCACAGCCCGGCACATGTATTTGTAAAATCTAAATGACTCGTACAACATGGAATTCATATAAAACGGAGTTATCAACAGTGTTATAAAAGGGGATCGACTTGTATTATCAAAATCACAAAAAGGACATAATCAAAAATATAATACCTACGTTTTATATTAGCTAACTGGGTGCTATTGTCTGAAAGCTTATTGCAAATTTTTTAAATTAATAATTAGATATATATAAATACTACAAATTTACAATAATGACCATTTAATAACTTTTTCCTTCAAAACCTGGCTATGCTGTGCCTATATAATACATTATTTCTGTTCATTTTTGAACTCTGAAAACATGCCTACTTGGATTGCATTTATAATTTAATCCTAAGAAAATCAGAGGAATAAATTTTTTATATATACGTGACTATTCTGACAAGATCTCATCAAAAAATTCTGATGGTTTGTCACTTTCTGGGTCTCTGTTTGTCACAAACTGAGCCTTTGAAATTATTTATCAGATGTGTGAAAAGTTGGTTAAATGACCCTTTGAATGGTGTTTATTGTAAGAGTGTGTACTGTATTTTATGCAGTTTAAGTCATTAAAGTTTAAAAAAGTGCATAAGGAGTGTTAGAACATCCTATATTGACTAGTGATATATTATACTGGGATGCGATATGTGATGTGAATTATCATAAATGTTATATATATGTATGTATGTGGACATGTACAATGTGATATACTATACAGGATGTTAAAAAAAAGCACTTGGCATTTATATGGTATACGGTACGCACTGTACTGACAAGAGGATGTGTACCTTGCAGATTTGAACAAAACTACATTTAGTTTGTAGTAGTTATATATGTTAAAATACAGGGGTTAGAAGTGGCAGAAGTTGTGCCATTTCCTGTTCCTGGCCCCCATACTGGTATGCAAGAAATTGTACTTTGCCAGTAGATGATGGATAAGTCAATATTGATTGTTGATTTAATTTCAAATTTTGATTTGTGTCGACTTATAGCTTTGATTATAGTGTTGACTTATAGCTCAACACACCCAGAATGCAATTTCAGCCACAGAAGAGATGAAGACAGAATCATTGTTAACACAAATGTCTTCTAACTGTAACACTGTGTTAAGTAATAACTGTCCACGAAAAACCTTTATCAATCAGTGTTGTGTTCGTTACAATATCCACTATGTTTTCGACCTCCACCGAGGTCTTCTTCAGGTGCTGACTAAGCGTTGTCTCCCCTTGACCGTTAGAACGATGTCATCCGAGATGTAAATATTGCACGTATCATGTTTCACCCCTCCGCTTGTCCCCATTAGCGACCCTGAAATTCGGGCGGACTTCCCAAACACCAGATTAATCAGACAGGCATTTCAAATTGATCACATCCATCACCTGGAGGCCTGGGAGATCTATAAAGCCAACATTGAGGGCACCTGTATCAACTTTAAAGACGGAGAGATGATTGCTCAGGCGTGGAGATACCTATTCGAGGAATTCGAATGGGGACAAGCAGAGGGATAAAACTTAATACACACAATATTTACATCTTGGACGACATTGCTCTAACAGTCAAGGGGAGATAATGCTTAGTCAGCACCTTAAGAAGACCTTGGTGGAGGTCGAAAACGTTAGTGGATATTGTAACGAACACAACACTGATAAAGGTTTTTTATGGACAGTTAGAATCATTGATCATTGTTCACTCTTCCAAAGACTTAATGTAATTAAGCTTCAATCACTTGCCTATTATCAGTTATTATCCCCTTTGTTCAAAGAATTTTTCCAGTACTCCTGGTAGAAAGCAAAGTCGATCACAGACTGACCTCCAAGATTTATGTCTCCAACATAATTTTGTTTTGAATTTGGTACCATATAATGTCAAAAGTGTGGTCAGCAAGATAATGTGCATTCACTCATTCATTGAATGTGTGAATTTGAGACTGGGTAAGATGCTAAGGAAGGAAGATACATGGAACACTTATAATAATCAAATTGTTATCCTTTTTTATGTCACATGACTGACTTACTGGCTTCTATTCTGGTTTCTACTTTAGTTAGAACAAAGACTATGGGTAGTTCTCTGTCCACATTAGAAGGAAGTGTCCTTCAAAATGATGACAAAGATCCTCCAAAATCAGATATAAGCCAGAATATCATCAAAATAGATATTTCAAGAGAAAATGAAAATTGCAGAAGAAATTATATGGACATTGAAACAATTGCAAAAAGCAGATATAAAAACAGATGTAGCCTAAAAATAAAACAACTAAAAAAGATGGGAGGATCTAGAAAAAATGGAAAAGTTGGGCATTGATAATACCTATTAACCAGCTATTTGCTTCTAGATGTCATAATAGTAACATATAAAATTAATATATTAGAAATCACTGAGTTTTTGACATGTTTTTTACTAGATATGCTGTGTACTAACTACTGCATAAATGTCAAATGTTTATTTTAACACTCTATGTGTAAAAGTAAACATTGTTAATTTGTTAAATGCATAAAGGTTGAGACTTTTACTTATTAAAGTTAAAAATCACTTTGTTTCATTTGCAAGAATCAGACTAATATTGTTTTCGTTATGCAGATTTATTTCTTAAATGTGAAGTTTAATGCCAAGACAAAAAGGAATTTCTGTAGAAAAAGTAGATGCTTTATCTCAATGACATTTTTTTATATCATACTTTCCTTTCCCAAGAGGAAAGAGAAAAGAAATTGTAATTTTTTATTCTTATAAAAGTTTTCTTACAATTCCTGTAAAATACTGTAATTTCTTCTATAGCTCTTCTCATTGGATTACTAAAAACTTTTGATAATCAGACTTGTTTTCATTAACAGACAATTAAATTTTTGTTAACTATAGTTAAAAATTTCTGATTTAAAATAATTTTTATTACATTTATACATATATTTGCAGTTCGGCAATTGATGCGGTTACAAATCAGAAAGTTGCAATTAAGAAAATTACTAAACTATTTAATTCAGCAATTCATGCAAAGAGAATTTACAGAGAACTAAGGCTGTTGAAACATATGAATCATGAAAATGTAAGTAAATTTCTGTATAATGAAACTTAAAGATTAACTATAATTTAATAGAATTGTTACTCCTCAATATTTTTAATGTTTTTAACACTAGATTACTACTAACCAAAGCATTGCACATTGGAACAAACAAAACTTAATAAAAGAAATGAGTGTGGTTATCAATTTCCTGTTACACAAATCAGAAAGTTAGCACACGTTAGTCATTATCTTAAATATGTTTACAGGAAGTAACAAGTGAGACAAGAACCAGGACAATAAGGAACAGATACTTACTAAAAGAAAACTAATAAACCAAAGCAGAAGTATGCTATGCTCAGTCTAATTCTTTTTACCAACCACCCACTAATTTGATTCGCCCATAACATGAAATGCCATTTGATACTACCAAGTAGATTCTATTCCTCCTCTTCTATCAAATTTTAGCGGTTCGGCTAAAATACGTCGTAGTGTTTCAATAGAATAGGTCCGAATTTGATCCTATCTCGTATGATAGTAGCTCCGATCTCACCCACGTGTCCCACATCCTTTGTTCGTCGGACAAGATTAATGAGGACACTGATTCCTTGGAAATACCTTATTTTATTCCTCGTGACTATGGAATATTTTACAAAGGCCTAAGTTAAATTACTGTACAAATGTGCGTTCGTTGTCGGAGTTGATTCCGAGAGGTTGGTGAAACCAAAGCGAAAGGTTGGCGTAACGAGAGCGTCTCTCCTATTCGGCGTCCTAGGACCAAGTGAGGTCAGAGGGGAAAGGTCAAGCGGTAATGCCCTCTGCCCTTCAAAATGTTCATTTCTATGCAAGTGGAAGAGAGTCACCATCTGTCACATTTAGGATCTTCTCGTGATTGCTAACTGTTCGGATGCAATTAATTTCACATCATGAGATCCTACGATTGTTTTCCTCCAAGGATAATCCATTTGGGCTTGCAATCCCTTGTTAATATAATAATTTGAAAAACATTATTATGAATTACTATTTGAGTGTAAATTCTATTTTGCATAAATTTTTCTTGAAAAAGTTGTTTGAGAAAATGTCTAACTTATTAATTAATATGTTGTATTATTTGATTCAATTCTATTTTATGATTTATTATAAAAAATAATGTTTTTTTTATATTATATTATTTTTAATTATTAAATTTTCATAATTTCATAATAGGTTATTGGGTTATTGAACGTGTTCACTTCTTCCACATGTATTGAAGATTTCAAAGACATGTATGTATGTGCAAAGGAAATTAATTTTATTATAAGTATTATTCTTCCATTACTCTAATAGTATTAGTCAAAATAATTTCTTATTTTATATACAGGGTCTTCCAAAAAGAATGCTATTATTTCAAATTATTGTAATTATGTTAATTATTATCAGAGAACATTGAAAAATTGTCCAAGTTTCACATTTTCCCATTATAGTTTCTCAGTGTGTGCATCATGTGTAACATTGCACACATGCAATGGATACTCAAATTCTTCCTATGTTTGCTATGACATATCCTTTGTCACTCTTCCCATGGCAGCCACAATTCTGCTGTTCCTGCAGATTACTCACGTTGCACAATGATGAGTGACAAGTTGTGAATTGCCAGACAGAAAATGCCTTTTCTGTTGCAGGGTCATTGTTTTCATTTATGGTGCTTCCTAGAGGTAGTAGAAAACAAGAAGTTTGAATGCGAGTGGGAGATGAAACTCGGACAGTTACCCTATCAGTTGGTGTACGTTGCATGCTTCTCAGGTAATAATGAATGTAATTACGGTAAATTAAAATAAAATACAGTAGAGCATCGATTATCCGAATCAATTGGGGACTGGGTTGTTCGGAAAATCGATTTTTCGAATAACCAATTATGTACGAAAAAATATAGTAACCTATCCCATGTTGAAATTCGTTCAAATCCTGGCACGTTCTTAAGTACCCTTTCATGGTCGCGCCAGTGCTGTTAACTAAACACACACACCAACAAAAATAATAATGGAGTAGCCCAAGACATAGCCAAATATTGCAGCACTAGCAGAAATTTAAATTTGCCGACTGGAAAGCTTTTGATTAATTGACGTTTTGGTTGATCGACATTCAGATAATTGATGCTCAACTGTACTAAGATTAATTTTGTGTTGTATGATTAATAGGTATGTGATAATAAGAGGATTGTCATAATTGAAATTAAATACAAACATTAACTTATCTTGGTAAAAATATCATTTGAAATGGTTTGTTAATCATAGTTTCAGATGATGATAAATGGCAAGTCAGTTGTACAAGAGGAGAACTGCTTACAGTCTGTAACAAAAGTATAAACATACCTGTTTTTTGAATGTTTTTAAATTTGGTAGGCCTAAAAGCCATTTGATTTGGTAGGCCTAAAAGCCTGACTGACAGACATAGATGCTAAGTACTTAAATTAATAACAAACAGAAACGTGTCATCAAGAGAAGCTATAGCTACTCTACCAACCAAAGTATTGTATGTGGCTGTTTGGAGTACCCTAAATAATAATCAAACTGTAAACTTCCTAAAATGAAACAAACTAAAATTAATCAAACAGTAGCAATTAGCTAGACTTCAATGGGCAAAAGAAAAAAATGTCCGGAATCTCAAAGTGGCATCAAATAGTGTGTACAGATGAAAAAAAAAGGAATTTAGATGGATCAGATGGCTTTTCGTGACTCAAAAAAGAATGAAAAAGTGAAAATGAGTAGACAGCATGGAGGAGAATCAGTAATCAGTAAAGGTTTTGGATATTGTGGTAAGACAGATATTGTTTTTATTAGTCATAAAATGAACTCTGAAAATTATCAAAAGATGCTCTACAACAATTTACTTCTACCAATTAATGGCCCAAATGTAATTAACTGGAAATTGCAACAGAACAATGCTTCAGTACATAGCTCAAAATCAACAAAACAATGGCTTGAAAAGAAAAAGTTGAGGTAATTGATTGGCTGTCTAGAAGCTATAAGTCTAAATAGGAATCCCATCAAAAATCCATGGGGCTGTCTAACATTTACAGTCTGTGGCAGAAACAATCAGTATAACAGTGTAAATGAACTAAAATTGGAAACTATGGAATCATGGAAAGCACTAACTGAAGAAAAAAAATTAAAAGATTGGTAAACTCTATGCCAGATAGAATATTTCAACTAATTTCATCAAAAGGTGAGGTTTCAAAATATTAAAACAGTTTTTAATTGTTGTTTATTACGTAATTACTGTGTTTATAATTTTGTTACAGTCAAAATCTAAAAAAATTGTATAAATGATTTAATTATTTTATATAAACAATTTAAGTAATATATAAAATCATATAAAACTTTTATTGTAGTAATAAATTAAATTTAAATTAATTAAAAAAAACTAGGTGTATTTATACTTTTGTTACAGACTGTAACAGTAGAAATGATATGAATTGTGGTTCTAGTCTTAAATTGTTTTCATATTTTTAAATTATGAATACATTAATTAGTCACTCAAAATAATTTCATCAAGATAACAAGAAATGTCATTTGATCATTTGAAACTATCCATAAACCTATCAGACACAATATCAATTGATATCCTTATTTTAACAGGAAAAATATTTCTTTCTGCTTTGAATGTAATTACTAGAAAATAAAATAACTCTGTCTATTTAAGATCTGTTTTATGAAATTGTGAAAATGTACAGCGCGGACAGGAAAACACAGACACGTTTTACTAATTAAACAAGTTTAATTTCGTGCTAACATTAATATATATACAGAGTAAGTTCGGATACCCGCTGTTTACCTACAAACGTTACCAAGATCCCAAGCGATCAGATATGCCAATAGACCGGTAGTTACTTTTCCGATAACTATTTCCCGACAAATCTATTTGCGCGTGTAAACTTAAACTAACTTAAACTAAAAGATAGGAAAGGTAGAAGGGGAAGTAAGAAGAACTAAAGGACAGAGAGTACCCAATTTTTCTGTTGGTTCTCCACCATTCCTCGTCTCGGCTTCTTTTTGCAGCTGTTCTCCTTTTAGAACAATTTGGGTCCGTTTCGGGGTTTCCTTTTCTATAGTTAACAATCGGATTCTTCTGCCGATCCGATTCTTGTGGCCTCCTTCTGCAGCGCTTCCCGACTTTCCGTTTCAGAGTCTGCTGCCGCTCGTCCTTCTCTCTCGGAGTCCGGCCCAAGAATACCTCAAAAACCCTTTGTTTCTCATCTCTTCCTGCCCCGTTTTCTCCTTTTGTTCTCAGGCTATCCCCTGATGGGTTAGGGGTGAGGCGAGTTCTTGGAAGTCCGAGACAAAGGAACAAAGAAACTGGAAGGAAAGAAAATTCTAGAATTTAAATTAAACTAAAACTATACAGATTAATAATAATAATAATAATAATAAACAGGCGTGTAGCCACAAAATTATAACAATAATGAATTTTTTGATGGAAAGACTTGAATTTAAAGCAAAAAAAAGACAAATATTTTTTAATTTACTCTTAAATAGTGCAAGTGTGTGAAAATAAATAATTTTTTGGTTACCCAAATTCAGTTATATTAAATTTTACATATATAATATTCTATATGTCTATTCACATGAAAATTTACTAATATTTTAATAATTTGTAAGTGAAAATGGTTTCTTTTGATTTTTTTTTCAGTTATTTAGTTACTCATTTAATGGGAGCAGACTTAAATAATGTTATTAAAACTCAAAGACTAAGTGATGATCAAGTTCAGTTTATAGTTTATCAGATTTTACGTGGTTTAAAGGTAATATAAGCTCACTACTAACTTTTAGTTATTTTTTATATATTATTTTAAAAATGTATTCACTTGATGATATTATTTCAAATAATTTCCAAATACAAGAGTCAGAAGTTAAATACTGAATAAATATAATTAAATATTTGAGTGTATTCTGTTTAGTGATTCATGTGTGGTGTGATTAAGCACACTGTATCACACACAGTCCATGCAAGAATCTCACTACTTAACCAATTGCCAGGAAACATTTTCAGCTAGTGATGTGTAGATGTGACTCAAACAAGTGACCTTATGCTCAGAGGTTTGTGGTCTTTACCAATAGGCTGACAACACTTTTAACAAAAAGATATCTTCCATGCACTTACATTGTTTGTTGTTGACCTTGACTATGTTGTTTTATAAACTGCTACTGATAAAGTACTTCAACTTTTGCTTAATTAAAACACCAACACATTTTAAAATCAAAAATGCCCGATTCTCTTTTGCATGCTGGCAGTATTATAAGAAAACCGCATCCTGTGCTAGAAATATACTTTACCCGATTGTAATTCTTTGCACCAAATAAATTTGCAAACAGAAAATGAAAAACATACCTCCGTAGCCTACAATCTCTTTTACACACAGAAATTTAACAATTTTTTGCCAGCCGTCATAATTGCACGCTGGCTGACAGTCCGATTTCATTGTGCTTCTGAAAATTAAAAAAAGAAAACACTTTTCTGAATTATTAGCATGGAGAATGTTTTTAAATTTCAAAAAGTTTCAGAAACATACATAAAACCATTTTTAAATTTGCATAAAATATGTGCATTAAATATTCCATTCATATAGGTTCCTCCATCAAGCTTTACATAAATTTGATTCAATAAGGTAATTGCTAGAACCTTTCAATCAATGCACATCTTTAAACACGACCGAATTATCATACATATTAGCACCAATTTCTGGTCGACAAAGTTTTTAGTGTGATTAATGGCTCAATGAATGTACCAAGTTCCCACAATGTGTGATAGCACCTACTTTGCAGATTCAAAAGTGAAACAAATTCTTAAAGAATTAGTGTAAAAAATAGGGTAACATTAACTAAAATGATGCTTTTTCTTCTGTAAAAGTTCTGTAAATGATGCTTTTTCTTTTTTACAATGGTTAAGTTTCAATGCTCGTCCATTACACCTGTAACATTTTCATTAGGACTGATTCAAATATGAAAGTTATGCAAAAAAAATGTTTAATTATAATTAAAATTGGAATGATAATAAAATTTATTTTATTAATTCTTACAGTATATTCATTCAGCTGGAATAATACACAGGGTAAGTTATTTTAATGTATTTCATTGAATCATATCTCAAAAAATCTTTACATAATGAAGTAATCAATTAAAATCTTTTAAGGATTTAAAGCCACATAATATAGCTGTAAATGAGCACTGTGATTTGAAGGTAACAATTATTTCAATTTTAAAATTTCATGTCAATGTTATTCTATAGTAGTGTTGTCCAATATCTATCTGTATTATGAAGTTTTTGTTAGGCTAGGAACATACAGGCTAGGAAAATATAGTGTAAATGTGGACTGAAACAAAAAACACTAAAACTGAATAGAAAAACTGAGTAGAGTAAGTTTCTGCTGGTCTCAAGCAATAAAAGAAGTCTGATGCATTATGTTGGCAAGTCTCCTCTTGGATAAATTGTGCATGGTGATCGATCTGTTTTTATTCGTGTGTGTTGTCATACAAACATATAAAACAAATATACTAGAGTGCAAGGTTGGAAATATGATCCAACTTGCCCCAGCACCTTGGTGAGAAAGAGATGATGATTGACTCTACTTGACATTTTTTGAGCTGATGCATGACCAGTGTCATAATGCTAGCCACTGCAAGTCTTTTGTGGTGATATCAATGTATTCATACAGCTATTTCCATTCAAGTAATGATAGTGTGTATAAGAAATTCAAATTACTGATGAACATCCATATACTTTATTTAATCACAACTCCATGTTCTCTTAGCTGAGAGTATAAACTGAAACAGAATTGAAAGTGTATTTTTTTGTTTCAGTTTGTCATATGATTTCATGTATGTAGCGTATGTTCCTGGTCTTACAGGTACAAGAATAGATTATATCATCAGTAGATCATTGCTACTTTGTCTTTTATGTATAGATATTAGATTTTGGTTTAGCAAGACCTGCTGAGATTAAAATGACTGGTTATGTAACAACAAGATGGTACAGAGCTCCAGAAGTTATGTTAAATTGGCAGCACTATAATCATACAAGTAAGTACTCAATTATTTTATAATAATTAATAAATATTTAGAAATTGGTTTCCTCTACTAAAATTAGTTGCACCTATATCAAAATGGTAGTTTTACAAGAGAAAATCCAATGTGCTCTGTGGTTTCACTAAACAGAATCATCAATTACAGTTTAACAAAACTTTTGAAAAGAATATGGACAAGAATCATCATATGTGAAAAGCATTAAGCTCGGTTCATATTGGCATATAAACCACTATGAAATTAATACAAACTAGCAGTTGTCTTCTTTTGGCAAGTGTTCGACCAGTTTATTAGGAGTTTAAAATATCTCAACTTTTGTTGAACATTGGATCATTCAACCAATTAACTTTTCACAACTATTGTTCAAAACCTTTTTACCAATTACAGCCTAACGTAATTTCTGTCACAGTGTACAATGTGGACAATATTTCACTTTGGTTAAGTGTTCATTTTGTTTATTTGCAGTGGTTCTTATGACAGTGTAAACCAAGATTTAAGGGTTGTTATGTAAAGTTTAAAGAGACTGTCAGTGTTGTTTAGTAGTGTTTCAGGTCATCAACACTGCCAGTCTCTTTAAACTTCGTATAACCTTTAATGCTTTTCACATCTGGTGATCCTTGTTCGTACTATTTACAGAAGTTTTGCTAAACTGTAATTGGTGATTTTGTTTCGTGAAACAACAGAATACATTCAGCTTTTTCTTGTGAAAATATCGTTTTGACACAGGTAATTGCAGTACCACCTAGACCAGCAACGGCAAGCAATTTTTCTGAAGATGGGTCAAAATTAAATTCAAAATTTAGTCCAAATTACAGATAGAATATTTAATTTACATAACTAAAAAAAACATGCAAACAAAAATTGCTTCAAATTTTACTTTAAACTTTTTAATGTGACTTATATGGGCTTAATCCAAATCACAGTGATTAAGGTTGCAGCCTACTTCTCTGAGAAGCCTGAGACCAAATCCGGATGAGTTGTCCAGCCAGATGTGTTGGCCGTCCCTTATCTTGTACCTAGCTTGTACAGTTTATCTTTAAAACAATAGTGAAAAAGTTGCTAACAAATGTTTTTTTTTTAAATTCTTTAGTGGACATTTGGTCTGTAGGGTGCATAATGGCAGAGCTTTTAACTTCCATACCACTATTTCCTGGAAACGATAGTATCCTTTATTCACTGTCTGTTAATGAATGCTTATATAATATTTAATTCTTACTTATCTTTAATTCTTTAAAATAATTTTTTATTTTTTAATATAAAAATATTTATGAATCAGTATGTAAGTATTTAACTGTAACAAAAACAAATATAATTTGCATTCCAACTTAAAAAGAATTTAATACAGTAATGCAATATCATGTGTATACTAGTGGCATGATTACATTGTGTACCTACTAGTAGAAATAAATTAATTATAACTTTGGTAATTGTGATTTTTATATGAATTAAATACGTTTTTCCCTGGATTGTCATCTGAGGTTAGATAAAATTCACTAAAGTTGGAATCTGTGGTATGTTTATACAGGATGTCCAAAAAGTTATTGTGCATTGAGAAATTTGTAATGACATTAAAGTTATACATAGATTACACGATTAGCAAAGAAATCATTCAAAAACTGTAGTCCAAATAGCAAAACATCCGTGAGCAAGCAGTAATACCATTTACTGCAATGTGGAAACATGGGACATATAACTTATTTTCTCCTATGCAATACTGCTAATCGCATGTATGCTCCTACCCAGTATGGATATAGAACAAAATAAATGAGCCTTACTTAAACATTTTGAATTATTATATCAAAAACAGTTTTTCTTAACATCCTTGGAGTTTCAAAGAGGAAAATAGTCTATATTATGAATGCACATATATAATCCAGACTATTTAACACTATTAACTCTTCACAGATACTATTGCATTATACATGTGCAGTATTCGTGCATCTATACTTTGTGGATGTGTGATGATATACAGAATCTATACACATAGAATGTTTGTTTAGGCTCACTAGTTGCTATTAAATTGCTTATGTATAAAGTTTTATTTTACCCATTTAAAATATTTTTGTGTTAAATAAAACAAGGAAAAACCTTATAAAGAATACTTAATTATTCTCATTTATTATTATTTGGCTTGTGACTGTTAAATTTATCTTCTAAAATAAAAAAAATACAGGTTATAGATACAGAAGATGATGATTTGATAGCTATTGCAGGTAATATTTCTGTAATATGTATGTCATTTGTTTATTGTTAATAAAGCTTCATATTTTCTTCCAAACAATTGATTAACATTATAGAATTAATTAATATGCACATAAATCTTAATAAAAATTAGATATCGATCAACTAATGAAAATCATGAAATTATGTGGAACACCAAACAATGAGTTTTTAAATAAAATTACTAGTGAGGAGGTAAGAAAACTATGCTGTAATTTATTATAATTTTTTCAGGATTACTGATTTATTCATTCTTGAATATTAATATATATTTGTGTTTGTAATAGTCTGTATTTCACTGTCCTTTTTCTCTTACTTGCATTAATTTATGAAAATTTTTAGTTGTGCCAAAGGAATTTTTTAATAAGGCATCCAAAGTATTGTGTGAGCATTGAAGGATTTAAATCCACAGAATTTTTTGTGGATATACACCTAAATTTAATATATAGTAAATTTTACATTACATATACATTACTGTTAATTGTTATAGTGATAATATGTATAAATAAAATTATGCATATGAAAGTAGTTTTCATAAACAAACATCACAAAACCCAATAAACTTGTAAAACCAAACAATCACCAGATTACACCAGAATAATTAATTAAATATAATTGCAGTAAAGTAGCCCAATGTAGTTCAGTGGTTGTTTGAAAGTAGTCTTCTGAAGAGGGATCCTTTTCTTTATTTGAAAATCTGTCTACACAAAGCAAAGCCTGAATTAACTTATTGAGAGTCTACTGTATAATGCAATTTTGGCGGCAATTGTATTTTTATCCATATAGGCTACAGGTTTTTAAAATATCCATTTTAATTGCCCAGTTGTAATATCAATCTATGCTAATTAATTGAATACTATCTGTAAAAAAGGACAGAAGAGAGGCTACACTAAATGAGATCAATGCTAATGAAAGTTCACAGTATATTCAAGAAAGGTTGGGCACCCCTATTGGAGTTAAAGATGGCTTATCTAAATTTTGTTACACCAGGTAAACAACATAATTATACTTTAGCACAAATCAGTGTTCTTTGTGTGTTTGTTTCTTTTTAATATCTTTATATTTGTGAATATTAAATAACAATTTTTAGTTATTCTTTGAAATTATTTAAACTAACATTTAAAATGTATTAAAATTTAATGTTTAATTTAAAATTCAAATGTTTTCTTTCAGGCAAGGAATTACATAAGGTCTTTACCAGTAATTCTGAAGAAGGATTTTAAGGAAGTTTTTAGAGGCGCAAATCCAGATGGTATGTTCCGTAATTTGATTAATGTATTAAATTTATTTCATAAAAGAAAATTTAACTCTGCTTTCATACAGCACTAACCGTTAACATTACAACTGAAAGTATAAAAGTATTTTTGATGCAATGGATCAACGCTTAGCAACATTAGAATGTAATGCTGATGTTTTGATTGAATTGTGTTTTGTATTTAACCTTTACTATTGCAAGGTTCTGGATGAGGTCTGAACCCCTCACTAAATTTTATTTAAAAGCTTTCCACTTTGGAAAGGAATTTCATAAGATAAACACAATGCAAAGATAAAAAAAAAATAGATGCATTGGATGACCCAAGTTTACATGTTGAACTGGGAAGATGAACTTTGGCTTGGATAATCATAAATAGGATGAAATTATGGCAAACTCAAAGTGCTATAAAATATTTTGATCAATAAATAATTACCGTGCAATGTCTTATAGAAATTTTTGACAGGAGAGAAAACAAAACTTTTATAAATATGAGCAAATGTTTCAGTTTGTTTAAACATTCTGTTGTCCAAGCTTGAGATATGGTGCTGGGTTAACATTGAGATTCAACGTTTCTTGTACTCCAATTAGGCCTCGTTTTATCTGAAGACAAAGAAGGGACCAATTGGGAGAATAGAAAAGGATTAGGGACCAATTAAATTGTTTGGTGTGTGGCTAAAATTTATATAAATTCATATCTCAAGGTAATAGTGCACTTTTCCGACCGTTCTTCTAAACCCACACTTCTCCAACATTTCATTTTAAGAACTGTTCTTCTTCCCAAACTGTGTATCATTGATGCTTTAAGAACTAAATGACCCCTTATATCTATCTTGTCAACAAATCTACTTTGGGCCCAGCATCATACAAACTTGTTAAGAAGTTATGAACTATTGACCAACAAAAACCATCTTCATGGGACGAATACTGAAGAAGGTGAAAGATCAGATGTAAGCAACAGTTTTTTTTTTTTTGTAGCAATAAACAGGAAACTTTGTAAAGGTGTTTCAAGTCTAAATTCATCGGCACCCACAAACATAATTTATACTTGCAAAACCTTCCTGGGTCTGGTTTCCTGGAAAATTAGGTATCGGGCAGTGATAATTTACACAGTACTAGCAGATGATACCAATTGGTTCTACTTTCAACATAACGAAGGATCCAAAAGTCAATTCTCCAATTTGTTTAGAAATCCTCTTAAGGGCTTGTCCCCTCATTGACTTCATTTTGAGGAGGGATAAGAGGAATGGACAGACCCAAGACCTTTCAGTTCCGATAGATAAAACAGAAGAAATCAGAAAAAACTATGTTTTAGAGATTATTACATAGTAATGGAAGTATTAGGAGAGAATCTGATAATTAATATTAAGATATGAAAATCTATGTAAAATTTCTCATTTCTATATTTAGCAATTGATATCTTGGAAAAGATGTTGGAATTTGATGCAGATAGAAGACCAACAGCAACAGATGCTCTGGCACATGCTTACTTTGCAAAATATGCCGATCCAAACGACGAACCAGTAGCAGAACCTTACGACCAGTCATTTGAAGACAAAGATCTTTTTGTTGCCGAATGGAAACGTAAGTGGAAATTTAAAAATTAAAACGTTTACTGAAATATAGCTAAACTGATGTTATAACATCATTTTAGCTATATTACAATCGTTTTGTGTTGTTTGTGAACTTTATCTGAGGATGATCCAATAAAAGGTCGGCTGAGTGACTGCATAACAGGTTTGATTTGTCACCTTTTAATTCTGAATTCAAATCCATTACAGACTTCCATAATTTATTGTGAATCCTTAACTCATTTTGCCTTGTGAGCACTTTTTCCATGCCCACCATGTGTTTGGCCTGATTGCAACCAGGTCAACCATGATTGTAAACCTGGGTCTTGATGTATACTGGGCTATTAAAGTTTTTCACAGTTCAACCTGGATTTGACCATGGGTCTCATAGAGTGGCAGGCTGACACAGGTTGTGTTAAGGTTGATGGAATGATTTCAGTCATCAAATAATTATTACCCAAATGACAGTAACATCATATGCAAAATGATTTAGTGAATTGGGAGTGGTGATTCACACTTTTAAAAAAGCCTATTCATTCTAACTTGGTACCCACTACAATCAGTTACTACATTCCAACTCTCAATTAATGACCATTATATATAGATACTTCAATACATTGTTTCAGTTACACTATATGAACCAAGCATTTTTGGAGCTGTGCTCCATCCTCAGGGTTTCATAGTTCTTAAAATTATAAAATTCTCACATTAAATTTCTTTAAATTCTTCATTACTGTCATCTCACAATCAACATTGCAAACAAAATAGAACATACTTAGGATCTGAACACTTGTCAGAATCTCGTATTCCTAGCAGATGAACACAAATCAAAATCCACTTTTAAGTTGTGATGTTTGTGACAAGAGATAGTATGATCCGCGAGCAAACTGTTACAAAAAATATTACGTAAAATCCACTGTACTACAAAGTATGAAGAAGTAATGACAACATTCATTAATTTTTAAATAGCCAATAATCATATGTACTGTACTTTCTTCATTCAGTAGCATTGTCTTTCATATTCAAATTTTTATTCTCATGTTCCATTCCAGTTTTTAGTATAAGTAGTAGTAGCTTCAACTCTGATAATTCTCTTTGACTTCTTTCTTTCTTTCAAAGATGAATCTCCTTTATAATATGAATGTTTTAATCATTTCTTTTTTCCTGCATTTCCTATAAAAATAAATTTTTGAATGTAAGATGTACAAAGGGTGCGTTTACTTCTGAGTTAGCAGTGCTAATTCTGATAACCGGATGTGACGTCATTAGCACGTGTATTCGTGCTTGCTTGTCCAATTCGAAAGTAAACACATACGCTAACAAGAAATATGGCGGTTTCCAGCCATATTTCTTGTTAGCGTAGTGTTCACTTTCGAATTGGACAAGCAAGCACGAATACACGTGCTAATGACGTCACATCCGGTTATCAGAATTAGCACTGCTAACTCAGAAGTAAACGCACCCAAAGTCTTATATCCAAAAATGTACTTATTAAATTACAATTTTGTACAGTTTTTGGAATGAGAACATTTGTTTACAATACAACTACATAAAATACATTTGGATACATTAAATTGTAAACATCTGCATCTTTAAATTCATTCTAGAAAAGAATTTTATTCTTACAAAATTGTCATTTTTAATTAACAAAAATTTGCTACATTTATTTATTTCCTAACTAATATTAATTTATTTTCTTTTCTCAAGAACTTGTGTATGAAGAAGTTGTGACATTTCGCCCCCGAAACGAATTGTAATCCACGCTTGCTGATTTTGACAGACTCGTCGGAAACAAAGGAGGGAAGAATCACAGACTGATCGAAAGTGGTTATGTATCGTTATATATTGCAATCTTGAGTACCTAACCGACCAGTTTGTTGGCATTTCGATAATTAAGGTATGTTTTGTTTGGGCTAAGAAGGAAACACAATAAAATTATCTTTGCATGATTTTGAAATTCTGTCAAGAGATCTAATTTCTGAAGTAGTTCATGGGCAGTATCAAATGATGAAATGACATAATGATATCATTTGTTATCAATTGACCAAATGATGACAATTACTATATATAAATTGTCACCATAATTTAAAGTCACTTGTCACATGATATGGATGTCATTTCATGTCAATTGACATTGAATTATTCATTAATTTGAGAGAAAACTGTCATCTTGCACATGGAAATATTATAAATAGGAAATGGTTTATTTTCAGTTGTATAAAAATCAATAATGTTGTGCTAAAGTTGAATTGTAAGTGGTTATTTGTACGTACCTTTGCATACTTTTCAGTTTTTATTCAATAAGATATATCAAATAACAATTATAACTGCCAAATCCAAAGCAAGAAATGGAACAATTATAATTAAGTTAAAGTTGAGGAGGAATATAGTCCTATTTGTGAATAAACGATAAAGTATTTGTGACCGCAGAGATCAACACATACTAAGCATTATATTAAGGTGCATGTGATCGACGGAGAGAGGCAGGTTATCTTGGCTGCCACCCGGCATATGTCAACATAGGTAACAAAAGTGTAATAATATATATTTCATAGATAAAATTGGCTCATCCAGAACATTTAGTTTTACTATTCAACATTGATTTCTCTAATTAGAATATAAATGTTAAAAATTATTCCCCCTATATTTTGTACAGGATGATTCGAAGGTCTCAATACACAGGCAGAGGGTTTGGTTCATTATGCAGTCACTTCTGTTATGTATATGGGTAACATTTGATGAATGCACATGTAAATGCATGTTAAAATTTCTGATGTTGTGTACACACACACAAAACACAGACCAGCTGGAGACTGTAATTTGTTAGTTTGTATTCGAGGCATGGACCTTCGGTAAGTGATTGTTAAGGGTAATTTCTGACTATTCTCTAAGAGCAAACTTCTTTATCTCATTTTCTTAAAGCAACTCTGTAATTGTCCAATGAAAAAGTATTATTAAAATTGATAATTTTTAATTCTTTGTTTTGATTTCTTTATTAAAATTTACAGTTTAGACACAGGAAGACAAAGATCCTTGTTTTTCTCTGATAGAATAAGTTGTTCCTTCAATAACATTCTAAATTCACTAAAATTTATATTTTTCTTAACAAACTTTCTAACCTTCCATTTACAGACTGCCCGAAGTTGCACGTGTTTGCCTAATTTCTATAAATGGATGAATATTCCGATTGGATATATTTTAACAATCTATTCCCATCCCAATATATTTACCTTCACATCGCCTCTCAATACTAGAAATACTACATGTTTGTACTCTCCATATTCTCTTCGTGTTACCACAAAATTTTTTTTTACCGCTACCAAAAAGCTGCTGTAAAAATCAAAGATAAACTTTATATTGAATTCACTAAATTTAAGGCTGTTTGCAAAAATTACTTTATTTTATTCCTTTTATTGGGCTTTTGCTTTTTGTTGTATGGCAAACATCTTCCCCATGGGCACTAAGAGGGCCTTTTATTAGCAAGTCCATTATAGGTTCGGCTAGGCCCACAATGAATTCACTCCGGATTCACAAATTCACAAATAAATAAATTTATTTGTCAATTTTTAGCAGTCGTTGCGTCTTGTTCCTCAAAGTTCATAGTGTTTGAGCAGAGTTGATAGATATGTACTGGTCCTTGCGCTGCCAATACAGTAGAACCTCGAAAACTCAGCTCTCGATAACCCGGCACTCCGGATAACTCGGCCACACCCTGGCAGGGCAAAAAAATCCTTAGTTAATTAATTTTCATTATAGACAGCTTTATAAAAGTATAAAAGCTCTCATAAAGTATTTTTCTGAGGTCTGTCTTATCAGGTAAATTACTGTACACAGCGTATTCATTAATTTTCATTTTCATATAGTAAAGGCCTTCATACAGTATGTACTTTTCCTTTGTTTAAGGGTATTTGGGCAGTTTATTCTCTGTTGTATTCTCAAGCAAACAATACATACAAGTACAGTACAGTATTTTCTGAGGAAACACGCATACTTATCCTTTTTCAACCCCATTTCCGATAACCCGACATTTTCACAAACTCGGCCACCCTTCGGTCCACATTAGGCCGAGTTTTCGAGGTTCTACTGTATCTCTAATGCTACTATTCTGGTAACTGTCACAGTCAAAAAATTTAGTTAAGCCTGTATATGCATTATTAATATGGGATGTCTTCAGGATTCTCAATAATTCTCTGAATTGGGAAGAAAAAGGAATGATGAGAATTATATACACTTAATTATGGAAATGTATAGAAATGTTAAACCACGTGTTAAGATAAGATAGATTTTAAAGTGTTACAAAAAAGAGATTTAGGATGGCTTTGGAGGTTATCAAGATTAAGCCCATATTAATATAAACAAAGATATTAGAAGAATTGTAGTTTGCAGTGAGAAAAGAGCTATGATGTATGTTATTCACAATTTATATTGTGTTTATTAATGAGACAGAGAGAGATTAAAGTTGAGCCAACTTAGAGTGGGGGATTAAAAGTCAGTAGATTTAGTTCTTGGATTTTAAATATAGGCAGTCAGAGGAAAAGGAGGAAATTCCAACTATTTAGACAACATATTCACAGACACATAATAACTTAGAGATGATTAGAGGATGACGAGTTAGAGGTTGACAAATAAAATAGGTAAATGTCAGACAGTATTTGTTAGATATTGACAATGATAGTGATTAGTGATGACACAGAGACTGAAAGAAAGACATGTTAGTGATATTTTATACAAATAAAGGACAGGTGTAGTAAGCCATGAAGATTTATTCATGGCTTACTTAAGATTTATTCATATTCTACTTTTAATAATGCAGAACAATGCCCATAATCTGGCTGCTTTACATGATTCAAATATTTTCACCGTGGAAGCTATCTTGTATTCGACAATACAGCGCTTCCATTGGAAATATGCATACAAGAATTTATATTTGAATATATAATAGCAATTTTATCATTGTTTTTCATATGTATAGAAATTTGTAATTAAATATATAATGCGGTTGTAATAAAATGTTAATTTTAATTAATTCAAAGTACATTAAAATATGAAAATAATCGCACAATACGTATTTATATTTTAGAAAATGCAAGGGAAGCGGCGCTTCCACAGCTTCCGTGGACAGCATGCCACTGGTGCAGAGTATTATATAAATTACCAAACTACGTAGAACCATATTGACAAATATAAAAACAATAAAAAATTATACTTCAGAAGTTAATTTAGTATCAAAACGTAAAATATTTGAGTAGCCCAAGACATAGCCAAAGATTGCAGCGCCACAGCACAGCGAAAATTTAAATTTGCCGACTGGAATTCTTTTGGATGATTGACTTTCGGATAATCGACGCTCTACTGTACTCAGAACATTACGTACAAAACTTTCATTCACAATATGTAACAATATAACAGTTTTTATCATTATAAAAGAGCTTGTTGTCTCGAAAATTGTTGAAACTAATATCTCATAATATTAAAGATAACAGAGACTTATCACAATGCTATTGGTAACAGTAAAATGACAGATTTCATTCTTATGATGAAGTGTCATTTTGAGTCGGATATATTAGAAAATACTCGTTGTTATCGCGATAAGCGTTTCTCCTCATTCGAGGAAATCTTACTAACAAACGTGTAGGTTTAGAACATAAGCAAATCCCGGTGGATGAAAAGTCGATATTCTGTCGCGAGACTTCGCGTTCCGAAGGATTTTCTACTTTCCTTCGATTACGCGAACATTTGGAGAAAGTATTGTACCCGTACAGTACTTGGATTTGCCTGTGTAATTGAGAAGCTGGAATTCAAAACTATGAAAGGTAAGTAAATTCTCTTCTGAAATTTTAAAAATGCCGTATTTAATTAATATATCTTTAAAATAATTGTTTTCGTGAATATTAACAGCTCACTCAGCAGTAATTAAAAACATCATGTACTGTATTTGACAGATTCGCGGCTCTGGCACACGGGATCGTGACTACGCTCGATTTAGAAATGTACTGTACTGTACTTACAAAAGGAAAACATTCGATAACAGATTGTGCTTATGAAAACGTTGCAAATGTATAATTTTCAATAAATCTTTTTCATAAAGAAAACGTCTTTCTTGTGAATACTGTAGCATTTTTTCTTGGCTAACGTTAGAATAAATCATTGCGGATCTGTTAAATCGGGCTACAAAAAGTTCACTAATATTTTACTGACGATGATAATTTGTTAATGGATTTAAACTACCAATTCAAAAGACTTTACTCAAAGTACGCAAGATAGGCTTAACTCTCGGTATTCGCCAGGGTTAGGTTTTCTAAAATCTCGTGAAAACCAAATAAGGATGGAGAAAATGGAGTTTGGTTTTGTTGAGCATTTCAAAGATAAATGTTGATTGTAAAATAATAAACAATGAATATTAGACAAAAGACAAATTTGATGTTTGACAAACGAACGGTAGCAAATTTTATTGGTAATAAATTAATTCTGACTGTGGTGTATTAACACCAGTCAGAATTCAGTAACGTACAGTGGGTGTCAGCCGCCCGGGGCGGAGGAAAATTTCGGTCCCCCTTATTTAGGTATTTCAATTTAAAAGACCAAAATTCAGTTTTGTCACAGAACAAGCAATGAAAAATTCGGTGGTAATGCAGCGACCTGTTTAAAATAGTTCTATTGGACATTAGTGGTGCATATGAACGCGAATGAATCGTACAAGCAAAATAATAAAAAAAAAAAGTAAGAAAAAAAAAAGGTCAACAGGTTTCGCAGAATTTCCTCGGATGAAAAAATTACTAGTTCACCGGACGGCGAGCCAATTCCCGGACTGTCCAGACGATAGCACAATTATAGTCAGAATTAATTCATTAACTAACAGTAGAAAATTTTGTTGGTAATAAATTAATTCTGACTGGTGTTAATACACCAGTCAGAATTAATTTATTACCAACAAAATTTGCTACTGTTCGTTTGTCGAACATCAAATTTGTCTTTTGTCAAGCTGGACAAGCATAATTCTGACTGACACTACAGTCAGAATAATGCTTTGTCCAGCTTCTTGACGTCACGAAGTAGCGACATCTCGTGGTAAAAAAGGAGAACTACGGAATCATTCTGTAATTAGACGCCAGTCCAAATAGATAAACTTCTTCTAGCCTTAGAGCGACTCTAACGCCAGCTATCGGCACTCCGAGAAATTAATTCTACTGGAGAGCATCAAGGACCAGTATTGTATATCTATCGACTCTGGTTTGAGTGTTTTAATTAACTCCATTTTAACTTAACTAGTATTTTAACTTCTATATCGAATTTTATACAGAAAATAACTCCATTTGAGAATTTTAAATTATAATAATTCAAATTGCATCAAATATTTCTAAATATCTATCTAAAACATGGATAAATGTACAGAAACGTAATACGGCACTGCAACTGTACAGTACGTATTATACCTAATTGTATTTCCTATTTCTGCCAAGTGCTATTCTCGTTTATATCAGACCAATCAAATTGAGTTATAGAATCATCTGACAACGTTTGAATTTTTCCCCTAATAAAATAATGATTCTTGGCATTTCTTCTGTAAAAACTTGGTTTTAATAACACCCTATTTACTGTATTACATGGAAAACGGAACTATACAGAGTTTCTGATCTCGAACGCGAGCAAGGATTATAAATCGCACCACACAATTGCTAAAACAGAAATAAAACTGTGTAACGCCCGTATACGGGACTGATCGTTGAAAACCTGACACTGACATACAAGTACAGAAGGTAACCATCTGACGACAGCTGGGGCCTGACAGAAGGGGCGCAATCAGCCAAACGATTCTTAGGATTTCAATATAGCTAATAGAGAATTTTTGAGGGCGTGAAATCAATCTTGCGCGACAGTAAAAAACTTTTTTGTTTCTATTCCCTTAACAATTCATTTTAAGTATATAAAGTATAAGTATATAAATCATTGTGGCCATATTTTGGCTAAAAATAA